GTGTCGAAAATCGCAGATTCGTCCTATTTAGAACGCGAAACATCAGTGAAGGACGCTATAACGTGTCCATTCGGAAAGTCGCAAACACGTCCTTATAAAATAGCCGAAAACTTGTTCATAACAAAAGCTACAAATAATGCGATATTTTCCATTGGACAAGGCTGCTTCCTTATGTTAGCCATAATATATCCGCAGAATATCGGAATACACGATGCAACTGACGAAGATCTAGAGGCTTTTTGTCACATGTGGAAGTGCTACGGATATTTTCTCGGAATAGAAGACGAGTATGTAATAATCTTACTGATAAACCCTCCCCGCTCTTCTACTCGACAGTTATTAACAACTTTCGATGTAATGAAATGTAAGGCACTCATGTGCTGGCAAGTGTACGCACTTTCCCGTAAAGTTAAACATCGGCTAAGCTACTGCATTTATCCATATGCAATCCATAAGCTACTGCATTTATCCATATCTCAATTTACAATAAAGTTTAACGTGAAATTCGGTTTTGGGAGAAAAATTTTTTAACGCGACTCGCGAATATTGTTGATTGCTTCTTATTCCATTCGCGGTCCAAAGTTAAGATTCAATTACACGGTGCTTTAGACGTCTCTTGCATTTCTGAACGAAATACATTCTGTCAAATGTATTCCGCTAGGTACAATTTTTGCCGTGGCAGCTTCAAGGAAATAAAGCAACGCCTATGTGATTTAGATCAACATTGGATAAAGATTAATTTTACAGACGTCACATCCGAATGGATGTACATAATCAGAAATATCACCGAATCTATAAATTATTATCCTTATCTGTATATGACTCATAAGATAATGACTCTGTTTTTGGCAGAATCTTTAAATCTTGAGATGCCCAACTTGTATGCATCACTCAAGTACGGAGAGTGGATCGCTTATAACATTTACAAGTATGTAATACATATTTTTCACATTATAACACTATTTGATTTAATGACGCACCATTGATTTCCTGATATAAGTATTTAACAGATGCAAATGAGAGAGAATTTTTATACTGCACATTTTGTAACTAATGTTATTTTAATTCCAGATTTTTGTTCAATCATGCACTTAAATTTTCAATCATAAAAAGAATTGTT